TGCCTTGTTCTTTAGGTTTTTTCCCCTGTTTTAATTGGTTGCTTGCGTGGCACTTGTGGGAGGCTGTTTGAATTTCATTTTCTCTATATATATAGGGATGTTTGCCGTTGTTTTAAAAAGGTTTTTTAGATGAATATATGAATTATATAACCTGCGAGTCATTTAGCTTGCAAGCTATCTTTCTCTTCCCTACTTCTATTTTTTCTTGGATTTCTACCTACTTCTCTCCACAATTTCCACTCCACATGTATCATTCTTCTTAAGTTTTTATAAGTTGCAGTGTCTTGTTTTTAATAATATTATTATATTGTTTATGTTTGTCTACGTTTTAAGAAAGAAAGTTATCTCTTAATTTACAATCTTGGCATTATATTTATCTATGTTGTAAGAAAAGAAGATTCATGTCTTTGCACTATTTCATGTTCCATCATATATACTGAGTGATGTGGTATGTTATAATTCTCCTCCGAATAATTCGATATTCGTACAGAATAAATTCTCCCAATCGAAACCTTAGTCAAATAAATTCTTGGCTGGAGGCGAGTTCTTCCTTCCGAAACTAATAAAAATTGGAACATATTCTCATGATGTGGCAAATAGTAGAGAAACAGCCCTTCACAGTATTTCATCTAATATAGAGCTTTGTTATCGATTTTATTTAATAAATATTTTGTATGAAGAGTTTCTGTTAAAAGTTTTTTGTTTATTGTATGTTGACTTTTTAAGAAATTGGGAATCCTTTTTGCTTTCATTTGCTCTGTAGCACTCACTTTTCATTCTTAGGGCTCTGCTTCCGCACTCCTTTGCTCTATTATCATCTTCAATCTTCACTCTCCAACCTTGCTTCTTTGACATCTCCAATCAAAAAATCTATTTTTTTTCCTTCAAAATATAGTAATAGTCATATTAAATAGTAATTCGTCTTAAATCGAACTATATTTCTAACTCTAAAAAGGATATTCTGTGTATGTTCTTTCTCTATTTATTATAATACAATAGCTAAAAAATATATTTATGTGAATGGTGCGACTTAAATAATGGTGTCGCATTATTCACAAGCGAGATAAAATGTAAAAAAGTGTCTATATTTGTAGTTCGGTTGGATGTAGGGGTGTCAATATTTGACACACTCAAAAATCCGACCCAAAATAATAGGGTTAGGGTCAAACTGTTTTGCAAATGGGTCGAGTTCGGGTTCTAGGATTCGATCAGTTTGAAAGATGAGTCGAGTTCGGGTCAACTCGCTAACCTGGCAGTTTGAAAAAATAGGTTGCGTCGTGGCAGTGTGACGTCTGCGTTAAGTCTCTCGAGTCGTCTCATCTTGTCACGTCGTGCCTACTGCCCTCTCCAATCAGCTAGACCATCTATGTGCCGCCCTCCACCAGGCAGATCATCTGCTTTGTCGTGTCAACTGCCCTCGACCATCTACCATCCTCCCAAGCCGTTTGAGTCCTGTCGGGTTGACCCAGGTTCGGAGTTGGTTGGGTTCGGGTTCGAAAAAATGACCCGTTTGCAAAAATGGGTCTAGTTCGAATCGGGTCAACTTCTGTCAAGTCAGTTCTGGGTCGGACCTGAAGCTGAATTGTGGCCTGATTTTGACAGCCCTAGTTGCATGCTTGTGAGAGCTACAAACGGACAAATGATTAAAAAAAATTTAAAAAAAAAAATGGAGGAATGATTGTTCGGTTGGAGATGCCCTTAGCCTTCAAGGAGTTTGAGTACACTCACACCTCCACAATAATAGCTATATTGGTGAAGATGATACACTTAGGTTTGATTTGGAATAGTTTTCCTTCTTTTTAAAACAACTTTTTAAAGAGAAAGCTAACATTTTAAACTTTTTAGTGCTCGTCTCAGCCAATATTTTTCGCCAAATTCATTCGTGAATATTATAACCGCAGTTTCATACATGAGGGAAAAAGGAAATTTGAAGGAGTATTAATCTTTTTTTTTAATAACATTTCATGACCATTAAGATTTTGAAGGATGATTGTGTTATATTTTAATGAATGGCTTAGAGAATAAGATTTTTTTTTTTTGAATATTGATATTTTCCATCAGCGAACAGTTCATGTCAAATTTATCCAGCCATGTGTTCAAACTCGAGCCAAAAATTAAATAAGCTTAACCTGATTAGACACACTTGACTTAGACTCGTTTACACTTGTAGCTGTAGCTGACATCCTCACTTATTCTTGGATTTTTGGGTTAGATTTTTGCTGCTTGACTGCCACCATCAAACCCTTTTCCTAAGACCTCTACTCGGTTGCAACTAATGGACCTTTGCATAATAGCCACCATTAGACCTTTGCCGACCGATGACGATAGTTCTTAGACAACCTTTGCCTGGTTATGGTCATTCGAAAAACGTTGCCTTGACTATGATCCTTCAAACGTCCATTGCTTGACGACCATGACATCCATCCTCCGTCACACATCGAGTATAGTCTTTTGATCTATATTGCTAGCCGATTATAGTTCTCAGACCACCATCACCTAACAATGGTCCTCCAACCTCTGTCGCTCACAGACTATGGTCATCGAATTACTATTGCCCGACTGAGACCCTCTGATCATTGTCACCAAATTATGATCCTTTCGACCTTAATTACCTACCGACTATGATTTTCCAACCTCTGTCACTTTTCAAACACAGTCTTTTGACATCCATCACCCGTCGATTACAACCCTTTGGCCATCATCATCTAGCTACGCTCCTTTAGACCTTCATCAACTACTAGTAATGGTACTCCAACCTTCATTGCCCACTAACCATAGTCCTTTGACCACCGTCATCTGACTATTATCCTTCTGACCTCTGTTGCACGCCAACCTCAATCCTCGGATCATTGTCGCCTAACTATGATCCTGAGACCACTATCACCCGACTATGATATTTTTGACCTCTATAGCCCGCAAGTCCTCAAAACAATGTTGCCTAACTATGATCCTCCGACCTTTATCACCCGACTACGGTCGTTCCAACCTCTGTCGCTTGCTAACCTTGGTCCTCAAACCCTTGTCACCCGATTATGATCCTTCAACCTTCATCTCCCGATTATGATCATTCCAACCTTCATCACCCGCCAACTACGATCCATCAATAATAGCTTATTAATTAAACATATAATTTATTTTAACTATTCTATGGCACTGATGGATGAGATGCAAGCTGGATGCTACTTACCTTCAATTCATATAACACAAATGCCCAACAATTACACAAATATGATTCTAACTTTCACAGAACTTTAGATGAACTAGTAGTGACAAAAAAAGATAAAAGACTTCGTTTGGACGGCTTATTTATCGCTTTCTAAAACGAAGTTTTAGTACAAAATTAAAAAATTTTGTACTAAAATTCTGTTTTAAAAAGCAATAAAAAAGCGGTCCCAAACGAAGCCAAAGTCCATCACCTTGTGCAACAAAGCTCACTGGATATAGATTCATCAATAACAACTCTACTTTTTTACTTGGAAGCCATAAATAAAAATATCAAAGCCAAGAAAAGAAATTTACCATACCCTTCCTATGCATATTATTTATTATTTCTAATTTTAAATAATTTAAACTCATATTATATATAAATTAATTTCCCTTCATCAATTATTTTAGAGTATAATGTTAAATTAATAAATTTAGAATTTTTACTTTTTCTTCATTTATAATTTACTTTACAATAATTTTTTAATTTTAATTTTAATAATTTTAAAAGTATACATATTCTAATTAAATTTAATTTTTTATTATTTCAAAATATTTAAAAGAAAAAAAATATATTCCTTCCCAGCAGAGTATATAATGTATAAATAGTTCTTGAGATTATAATGATCTCCAAATAGATGCCTTTTTTATTTATCCAAAATAATTGTGTTGGAATGGTTTATAAAATGAAATACATGTCCTTAAAAAAATTGTGAAGATATCTGAACAAAAAATACCTACTATGAATTTTAAAACCTTTAGATCTGCTTTAAGATATGTGTAATATAAATAATTTATACATTATATTCATCTTAAAAAGATCTAAAGATTTAAAAGTCCATTATAATTAAAAAAATCGACTAGATATCCTGAAATAAATTTTATAAAATGGCTAATGAGCATTTAAAACTCAAGAAATCTCATCAACTTAAGGTAGGGCTCACAATAAATTTCTAAGAAATTTTCATTATACTTCTCAATGAGAAGACAAAGTTTCATTGCTTGAAGACCAAGGATTCGATTGGGACGGCTTTCTTTCTGCTTTGTATAAGAGTTTTCTAATACAAAAATTTTAAATTTTATACTAGGAAGCTGCTTTAAGAAGCAATAAGAAAGCCGTTCCAAAAGAAGCCTAAGGCTTCATTTGGGACGGCTTTCTTGCTGCTTCTTAAAACAACTTTTTAATATAAAAATTAAAATTTTTATCATAAAAAGCTGCTTTAAGAAGCAGTGAAAAAACCATCCCAAATGAAACCTAATGCTTCATTTAAGAAAATATTTTTACTGCTTACTAAAGTAGCTTTCTTGCACACATTTTTTGAATTAAAGTTTTTTATACTAAAAAATTATCATAAAAAGCAGCAAGAAAATTATCCCAAACAAAAGCTAGATGAAGGTAATGGTTTTGCTAGAGCAAGCTAACCAGATCTATGGTTTTGCTAGAGCAAGCTAACCAGATTTAAGGCTCGTTTGGGATTTGGGATGGCTTTTGTATTGCTTCATAAAACAGTTTTTTAGTATAAAATTTTTAATTTTTATACTAGAAAAATATTTTAAGAAGCAACAAAAAAGCTGTCCCAAACGAAGCCTTAGCATATTTTGAAAAAAACATCATTATTCTTACAGGGATATTATAGAGCTATTAGAGAAACTTAAGATAACTAAAGAAAGTTAATGTATCAAGTTGAGAGTGAAAGGAGATCTAAGAATACAAAATTTAAGTAGATAACTAAAGAACTCACCAAGTTCTTTTGAAGAAATCTGACTCCAAACTTCATCAAGTTTTGTAAGTGATCGAACATAAATAAATATTGAAATATCATTATATTCATTGAAAGATAAATTACACTAAAGAGAAATAAAAAAAAACAAATAATAATGTATGGGTTGACTAATTATGCTAATTATGGAAAGATAGCGTTTTCACTTGGGCTTACTTTCTACTTTAAGTAGCCGGAGTTCTGGAGGAAAGGAATTTGATCCCATGTTACTTGAGGGCCGGCCAGGCACTTTGAAAAGGTGGGTAGCCTGATTCATAATACATGTTAGAATACAATCCATATAGTATCTTGCTTTGTGTTTGTGCCATTGATAATTATGATTTTCAATCTAGATGCACTGCTCTAATCTGGGATTTGATCACTGGTCAGTGTACATGCATCAGATTCTCTCTTGCACATCTCTAATTCCTGATCATATCAGTACTCACCATAGTGTTTTAAGCTCTATAATGAACTACATTTGTCTTCGAAATGAAAACATTTAAATAAAAATTTCTTAAAACCACTAAAGATCCTTCAGTGTTTAGAACTCATACCAGGATATGCTATCAGGATGTTAGCCACATTGTTAGTAATTGCTCCTGCACCTTTAGATAGAACTTGTCAAACAGCTTAGTGTGCCAATTACAAGCACTACCAAAACATATAGCACATAATCAAGTATCTGAACTTGTTGAGAGTAAAAAGATGCCCTCTGTTCTATCCATTCCTTTGGCCAGAAGGTGCTTTCGGAATTTGATCCTCCTGCACTTGTAACATTCATCAGAATCCTAAATAAGTAAAACTTGCTACAAAATATTGCCTGTTATTGGTTTAGCCTCAGAAAAAGACAGTTAAAACAGGGACCTGGTACAATTGGTGATAAAGCCATGGCATCCTTGTTGGCGTGCTTAATCCCTGCTGTTCATATTGAACCTGTGATAGAAAATGTTGTTAAGTTCCCAGAAAACTAAATGAAGAACAGTATGGTCTGTAGAGGGGCTTGGTACAAACTTCAAAATGCATGTTCTTTTATGCACAGTGAACAAATACAAATGGATCATCACGAAGTTTCTTAAAATATGAAACCTGAAACAAATTACTAGGCTGCATCCTCACTTGACCAACAATTTGATCTTGGTTCACATGCATCCCAAAATGTGGGCCAAATGAAAGCTCATTTTGATTAACTTCCTCCTGGGACAAGGAAAAGTTTGTCAAAAAATGGTTTCATTTTTTTTCAAATTTCTGGAAAGGATAAACAGAAGACAAACCATCAAATCAATGCCGCCTTGTGATCCAATATGAGCATCCTGATGTAAACTAGTTGAGGCAGCTTGTAGTACAGGGTTCTCACTCTGAATGAGAGATGACCTTAGAAAGTCCTAGTTAAGCAATAACAAACGCTGCTGAAACCAAAAAACACAAAATAAGAAAAAGGTTAACTGCAAGGATGCTAAGTAGTTGGCTACCTGCTCCTTATTTGCCCGGACCAATGCCTCTATATTAGATTCTTCTAGCTTTTTTTGGGGCCTTCCTCTTCGTTTTGCTTGCAAAGAACTCTGGCTCTTATTACACTCTGAGATAACAAATCGTGAAGCTAAAAGATCCTGTACACATTGACCGGGCTGGGTTTCGAAAGAAAGAAGCCTAGATTGCCTGTCTCTGCATCCTGGCTCATCTAAAAGAAACTTCTCCAGCTCTCTTATTAGCTTTACTGCAAGCTGGTACCTGTCTTCAGATAAAAATCCAACTTCAACAAGTTGAAGGAAACGCATTGATAAGTAATCATGGCGGTCCACTAGGCTGTCAGGAACTATATCATCAGCATAATTAGCTAAAGTATGTAATCTCTTAAAATCCTTTTTCCAGCGATTAAGAATATAATGAGATGGTATCTCAAAAATTTGTTGCAACTTAAATACTGATAATGAATGTCTACATAAAATTCCATGAAACTGAAAAAAGCCACATATGCATTGCACAGCTAGTTCTTCTGCATTGTAGAAAACCTCATGATCCTTACTCTCTGTTCTCTTGCCATTTTCAATATAAGAACATTCTTTCACCTCAAAGATTTGAATAGATCCATCTATCTTCATTGGTGAGGCATGACAATACATGGTGGCTTTTAGCTCATCTTGGAACTTTTGGAACATGTTAATGGTGTAGAGCTTGGATAGTTGTTCTTCCATGTAAAATTTTGATGCTATCAGAGGTGTCTTGTGGAATGATTCAGAGTCAGCTTGTGCTTCCTTTTTGCACTTACTTTGAATGATAGTTTCGTATTTACTGAAAAAGTGCTTTATAGTAGTCCTTGGATACACAAATCCATCAAAGTAGGTGCTTAAACTCTCCCCACGTTGGGCAACAGACATGCCTGCCCAAAAAGCATCTTTAAGAAAAAGTGGAACCCATGAATGTCGATTTTCATACAATTCTGTAAGCCAATCATTACCTTCAAGTCCAAACTTTTTTATCATTTTCTTCCATTCATGTTCAAACTCATAAGCTCGTAATGAATCGTAGACAAGTTTCTTCAATTCTTTCTTAATTGCTTTCAACTCCTCATGCCCCCTTACTTTTTCTGGTACCTTCTTCATTACATTATGTAAACATAGACGATGTCGGGTTCCTTGAAAAACCTCTGCAACTGCATCCTGAATAGGTTTACACAGGTCAGTGATGATAGCATTTGGGTAGCAATTCATCATGCATGTTAGCCATGTCTTAAAGAACCAAACAAAAGTTTCAACAGTTTCATTTGAAAGCAATCCACAACCCAAAAGCACACTTTGACCATGATGGTTCACACCAACAAAAGAAACAAGTGGCAAATCTTGCTTTTCAGTCAAGCAGGTTGAATCAAATGCAACAACATCACCAAAATACCGGTTTGCTGCTCTTGACCTTGCATCAGCCCAAAACAAGTTCCTCATTCGACCATTTTGGTCCAGATCCACCGAGTAAAAGAACTTTGGATTCTTATTCTGCATCCGGGCAAAAAATTGATGAATGGCTTCATCATCTCCTTCCCCAAGCTTCAATCTCCCTATTTCAGTCATGCTTACACAATCCTTGTCAACCACATGAGAATTTCTATGCCCACCTTGTTGTACAATATTCATTGTATGTGCCATCTTTTGGTAGCATCTCAGGAATTGTGCAGTTGAAGGACTGACCGGATGATTGTGTTCAAGTTTAGCATCAACAACATGCAACAAGCCATCACCCCACAGCTTCACTGCTATCATAGCCTCGCAATTTGTCTTCGCAGTCTGCCTAGCTAGGTAACAAGCATCTGCTCGTCCTCTCCCTCCTTTAGAGCATCCGAGTATCAACCTCCTACATACTCCAGATTTTGAGAAAGATGACTTCTTGACAGCCACACCGAACCCCACTCGCAAAGCATACTGCTTATAGAAGTTAGAAGCTTCTTCATATGTTCTAAATGCCATTCCTATGCCAGGTATCTTATCATCGCTATTTTGTCCAACCTTATCAACCTTTTCCTCATCATCAGCAATATCAGTAGTGGTAACCATCTCCTTTGCCTCATCCTTTTTGGAAAGATCCTTCATCATCTCCTAACAAATGAATGAAAAGTATGTAATCAAGAACCACTTAAGCATCCTAAAGACCAAAAAAATTCTTTGAAATTCTTTTTGAAAATTTATGTGTGGTTATACCTGGGGATCGTTGGAATCTGAAGGCACCATGTCATTAAATTCAACATCCTTCATCTCATCAATCTCATCAGCAACAAATGGTGCTTCCATTGCAGATTCATTAGTCGTCATAAGCTGACAAAGTGAACACAAAGAAAATATAACCAAAAGTGTAAGAGTTACTTCAGCTGGAATTATTGTAACTTAGCTTGGAAAAGATAAAAGATGCGCTAGTTGGCTTGGAAAAGATAAAAGATGCGCTAGTTGGCATTATTAAAATCATTATTTGATCTAGCAATATTTTTTACGGTATGCATGAATCCCAAGGTGCATACAAAACATTGAATTAGAATCAAATTAAGTGCAATTTGACACAAACAATTGATCGACTTACAGACACGCTTCAAAAGATCGAATGAGGTCAATGCACGATTGAAATGACAAATTTAGAGCTTAAATGTATTTGATTCTATTGGCGGATTTGGGGGGGGATAAATTCTCTTCTATAGGAAAATTATATAATTAAAGCTAAAAAATTAGACTAGAGAAATGTTATAATATTTAAATTTAAATCAACTAACTTAAAATATACTAATTATAATTTTTATATTTTTTATATTAATAAGATGCAGTTTTTTTTTATATATTTATTATTCGTTATAAAATATTTTTTAATTATTATTTTTATTTAAATTAGATATGAAAACCTTGAGTTAGATATTTAAAAAAATTTAAAATCCTAATGTTAATTTCAAGTTCAAATGAAAAAACTTGATGGTATTTTTCAAATTAAAAATCTGTGCCCCCACAGATAAATAATCCTAGCTCCGCCACTGTTTGATTCGACTTGAGTCAGCTACAAATTAAACTGAGAAGGTAGTCTTCCACATCGCATGGTCATGTGCCATCATGAGGAGCATAAGGGTGTTAGAAGCCACTACTGTTAACTTTGGTTGCTTGCGATGAAAGCATAGGCCACCAAGCATTGACAGTCAATAAGGAGCAACTGATAACCTTGATTGTCGTTGATGTGCATTAGTTTTGATTGCAAAAACATATTAAATATGATCTCACATGAATTATCAAGGTCACTACGCTCGCTTTTCTAGTGAGTTTTTTTGTATCAAAACATTCCTCTTGGGATGGAGAAAGTTGCCCCATTTTCATAAGCATGTTGGCCTTCGAAGATAAATTTTGAGTGGGCCAAATTAGGCCAATGGCAAGTTCAGCCAATCAGGTTCTACAAAAAAATTGATAAATAGGTGTGTGATTTGTGTTTACTTCGAATAAAAATTAGTGATTAATCAAAATATTCCTAATTTAACCATTAGCAAAGTCTATAAATAGGTCACTCAGTCAATTCATTTGGAGGATTTTTACTTGGAATCATCAACAAGAAGCTCAAAAACTTTGAGAAAAATCTTCTTATGCCTAAATCTCCTCCCATCATTAGTTGAACTATCCTCCAAATTTTTTGTCGAATCCAGTACTTTGCCAAACCAAACATCCTCTACACATACTTGAATTTGTTTCAGACCGATTATCTTCCGAGTCAACTCCCTCTATGGTGCGTGTTTGACATCCGGTGCTAATCACCATGCCATTCAAGCTCTCTTATCGTCCATCATCATTAACATCTCATAGGCCACCTTCATCACATAAAGTTATATTTCTCATGGGTACTCAAATAAGCCATTCTGGTTTCCACCACCAAACAATGAATACATGATCATTCTCTATTTATTGTAAATGTTAATTGACATTCCTATAAAAATTCAAAGAGGGGCCAAATATTTACTTGCAAATTATTGATACTAGAAGTTAGTCATCTAGGCTAGGGCCGGGTTTTCCTTTTGGGTTTCCACCTAAAAAATTCGATCTTTTGGATGCTAGTGCGCTAGAAAATTTTGAAGAAAAGACATCAATAACACCAAGTTTATTGTTCAGTTTATTAAAACTGAGGCGAAAATACATTCAAGGACGCATCAAGAACACAAAGGCATCCTAGTAGCTTATGAATGGATACTTGCTAATCCATAAAGACCAGTGAGTGAAGTTTTGTATAACTGATTACACTTACAAAATAACTCTAAAACTTCCCGTAAATATCTTTTTCCATCCAAATCATGCACAATAAGCGAAAAAAAACCCTAATAGCAAATCAATGAATGAAAAATCAAGATAAAAGACGGCAACACATACCAAAAAGAAAAGAAAAGAAGAGATAAACTACTCCTGCACGCATTGTATTTTCCCAAATAACAAATTTGGCATCAGAAATCCAGTAAATAATCAGGAAATCGAGGCTTCAAATTTCGGAAAGGTGATCAGAAAAAGATCTCACCGAGTTGGGATCAAATCAAAATGAGCTTCTCCAAAGATATCCGGTTCACAAGGAAGTGTGGTTCTAATCGATCATTGCTGCGAGGGAAATAAGAAAAGAAAAGAAAGAGGAGATTTACTAATTTATTAGGGTTCCAAAAGCATGAGAGCAAGGAGTAGGAAGATCATATTTATTATATAATATTTAAAATTTAAAATTATATTAAAAATATTACTAATATTAATCTTAATAAAAATAAAAATATGATTTTTTATGAATATGTGCTTATATAATTGATACACTATAATGTTATATAAATAAATATTAAGGGTTAAGTATATATATATATAAATGCATAAAAATTATGTGATATACATTAACCTCCTGCTTAAGTATGCATCTGTTTAAGTACGCATCTTAGTTAAGTACAATTTTTTTTATACAAAAATTTAGGGTTTAACATTTATAACTTAAATATAACATGAATGATCATTTGACATAAGTTTTATAATTCCTTACGTCTTATATTGAGGGTTGTTGCTCGAATATTTCTTTGAAACAATTCAAATGATTTTTTAAGATCACCAAATGCTACTCATTCAATCGTTTTATGTTTGGTTACTTCGACATCTTCTAAAAGATAGGTGAGAGGTCGTACCTGACGTGTGGACTGAGCTGGGCTTGAGGTCGTGGGCATAGCTGGGTGTGAGGTTGTGGACGGAGCTCGACGTACGAACAAGGCTAGGTGTTTGGATGTGGACATGGCCTTTGAACGCGAACGGGGTAGGGCGTGAGGTCGCGGATGGAGCTCGGCATGCGAATGACATGGGGAGTTCGAATGCAGATAGGACCTTCGAATATGGATGGGCGCTGGGCGTGAGGTCTCGCATGGAGCTCGGCGTGCTAACGGGGTGGGGAGTTCAGAGGCAGACAAGGCCTTTGGACGCGGATGAGCGCTGGGCGTGAGGTTGCAGATGGAGCTAATCTTGCGAACAGGGCGTGGCTTATGAACGGGAGCAGAACCCTCGATAATACCTAAGTACACACCTACCGATTATAAACACTCAAAATTTTCCTATTCAACATGCATACCTTTTCGGGAGGTAGTAGTGCGTGTGCGTGTGTGTTTTTTTTTGGCTCAATCCCATTTTATTTCTCACATCTAATTAAACTCATGATCTTGTTGTTATTCTAAATATAATTTTAATCATTTTGGGGTTATTTGTTATGCTGAAAAATGTAGCATTAATAATACTTCTTGAAGTAAAATTTATAGAGTTAAAAGGTTGATGGCGATTGCAAGTGGTGGATATTGGCGACAATATTGGTAGCGAGTAAGAGTTGGGGGTAGCAACGACTATAGCTCGTGGTGAGCGGTGATGGCCATGGGTGCAATGATAGCATTGGCCATGCTAGTGACAGTGGCGGGTGGTTGTGCTATTAGTGGTGGCCAATGGTAGAAGGCAGTAGGCAGTAGATAGTTGCTTGGGCAAGCATCACTTCTCACACACTATGTTTTTAGAATTTGACCAAAATTAGCAAAATCTAAATATATTGAAAATGAAATAGAAGTTGAATTCCAAATTTTGGTCTGCATGGTTTGTTGGAAAAGGAATACATAGTAGAATTGACTACAGTGTAAATGAAATGCAATGTAATTGAAATTTTTTATCTTTTTAAATAAGTATAAAATAAAGTATGGGACTTTTATTTGCCTAAAAGTAGAATGAATGCAGTTTAAAGCCCAAAGATGATGGTAGCGGTGGCCGGTGGCCAACGAAAGACGACGGGTGGGGTTGGTGGGCGACACTACAATAGTGGTAGTTGTGATTGAGGGCAATAGTGGTTGGCTATGGTAAAGGGTGGAGCAGGCCGAGCGAGACAACAGTGCATGATTATGATCAACGTTAGTGGGTGACAGTGGTTGGTGGCGATAATAGTAGATAATTTATAGTGTATTTTAAAATCAGTCAAATCTAATTATGTCCAAATAAATCAAAATTAAACTCGATGGTACACTCTAAATACTTTAAAAATTCACTTTGAATTTCTTTCACTTTAAACCAAATATCAATATTAAAAAAAAAATTATATTAGAAATACTTATAACCATTAAGTGAAGAATAATAACTATAGCTTTATTTAAGGCCTCATACATTCTATCTTAAAAATAGTTGAATAATTAGCACTCCAAAAATGTCACTTGTCTCAATATGAACCATTCATCAACGGTCATTCTTCATGGTTAGGGCCACTCATCTATGTTGACATCCATAATTCAACAACATAAAATACACATAGAACTGTCAATATTGTACCCAACCCGAAAACTCGACTCGAACCAGACCAAAAATTTCGGGTTTGGGTTGACCCGAACCCGAAGCGGGTCGGGTTCGGGTTGACTCAGAAACCCGAAAATGACTCGAACTGCGTCCCAGCCGCGCCCTCGCCCTGGCCCTCGCCTAGCGAGCGTCCCACGTCAGGCACCAGTTCCGCATCGTGCGGTCAGTTCCCGTCAAGTCTTCAATTGTTTTTCTACGGGTCGGGTTCGGGTCCAGAAAATTGACCCGTTTACAAAAAATGGGTCGGGTCGACCCGAACCCGAATAGTGCCGGGTCAATTTCGGGTTCGACCCGAACCATTTTTGTAAACGGTTTATAAAATACACACCCCTTAAGAGTCCCATTTATGATTTCCTGGATTCAAGTAGTCCTCAGTTAGCAATCACTTCCACCTAGGAAGACGAGAGCTAGCTAAATAAATCAAAATAATATTAATAGTCCATAGTAATATCCCAATTTAATTTTTCAAACATCATATACAATAATCCAGTTCGTATAAAGTCTATATGTCAGAAGAATAAATTACTGGATTATAAAATACCTTATAAACTCTAATACCAACGATTTTGTACTTATCAATATACTTCGTCGGGCCTTTTCCTTTTCCTATTCCTAAAATATTACAGAAACTTCACAGAATGGGCACCACTAGCTCAGTAGACTCCATCTACATTCTCAACACAGATATCAATATCCATTAAAATATAAATAACGAATCATTCGAATAATAGGTTAATCAGTTGGTTACAAACTAAGTGCTAGCAAAAATATTGATTGCACTTGAACTTATTTGATTTATTAAAATACACAAAGAATTTAAGAATAATTGGAATATCACTTATGCTTTGTACTATACACATATCTCGATGTCTCCTTATAACTTCGCTTTTTTTATGAGTCCTTTTAATTCCCCCACACTCACATATAAGTGGGACCGGAATATAATATAAAACCTCCCACACCTTCATAGAATATGTGGGTGTTTGGGTTGAAAGCGGGTTTTGAAAAGCTTAATCTTCTTTGGGGAATTAGAAATTGACTTTGAATTTTAATTCTAAAATCAAACATCCCATTGGAAAAAGTATACCACCTATAGAAGTGGAAATAAAATTTTAGAATGAGATTCAGATTTAGAATTGAAAATCTCATCTTGAATATTGTGACCAGGTTTAAGAAGGAACTCCATATGGCCTTCAAGGATCAAAATGAAGTTCAATCAAATATATAATTATGATAATCTAGAAGGATTATCATTAAATTCATATCCAAAGTTTTATCAACAAATGATATATCTCCCCAAAGGCGGTAAATATCATTTATTATTAATTGTTTGAATTGACGATAACGATGATCATAAATTTAAGTTTTAAAAATCAATTTTAAAAATTGATGTGGGTTCTAAATTTCCTATGAGCTTAAGTCCTCAAAGTTAATTACATCGTAGGAGATCGGGGTCTCTGATCTTCCACGAATACTCTCGATTAAAATAATGATAGAAATTTTGTTTAAAGATTTTCTTGGATTGATATCAAAAAGTTGAGTTTGGAATTTTAACTAGAAGTGGATCAAGTTGGAACACTTATTTTCGGAGTTAATGTAGGAGGGGTAGGAGATACTTTAAGATTCTAAAAATGATTCTGAAGTGCACCGACCTAAACTAAATGTTGGGCTTTAAATCTTGGATCGGAAGATCTTTAATTTGAGTTGAATAATTTATTAGAAATTTGAAATTATATTCTCAGAGATTGGAGTCTTATAATTCAAAATCTGCCATGGATCCTAAATTTAAGTTAGGCGCTGGACCATAGTACTAGCCTGAACTTAACTAATGAAGTGCAAAATATGGACTTATCAGGACCTAGATTGGGGGCCAGCTAACTACATAAGTGATTTAAAATCCCAATGTTTAAAATTGCGTATTCGGGTATTGAGGCGTTTTTCATTCGTGAGGCGAGGCGTAAGCCTCAATGCTTTTTGAGGCATAAGCCTCAAAATCAAAAGATTGTGTAAACATAAAATGATAAATTTTTTATATACTAATGAGTGAATAATATAAAATATAAACAATATAAGATATGAAGTGAAATCAAAATATCTCAATTATAAGACAACATAAAATATAGTTCAACTCAAAATATCTCAACTCAACACTGTCATTATATCTCAACTCAACACTGTCATAACTAAGGGGTTCTTCATTTGAATCATCATTATGGTGAACTGCTCTCTCCCCTTCCTCCTCTCCTATAGAGTCCAATGTTGGGCATTTACTTCAAGATTTATGTAAGTTTTAATATATATAGCGTGAGGCGTAAGTAACATGCCAGTGAGGCAAGGCGGCCTCAACCAAGTTGAGGCGCAAGCCTCATAAAAAAAACTCGAGGCGTAAGCATCGAGGGGTTTTTTACTGGAATTGCGCAAAGGCGGGCCTCATATTGCGCAATTTTAAACCATATAAAATCCATGACTCTGGTCATTATGAAAGAGTAGTAGAGACAGCGTTAATAGAGTTTTTTAGAATTGGGACCGACTTCTAGAGTAAATTCTAATTAGTATCCTTATGTTGGGTGAAAATCCTAAAGAGAAATGCAATTAAAATTTACACTCTTTTAAATTAGTTTATAATGTGATGCATGCTGATTGACTTGATGAAATACATAAAATATATAGCAG